TGCATCCTTAAAGGCTTTTAAGAGCTTTTGGATTTGTAAATCCGAAAACTTTTAAAAGACTTCAAATTTATAAATTCAAAATTTTAAAAATAAATAAAGTGTGAAAAAATAAAAGATAATTAAATAATTTTATTTAAAAATAATTTTTAAAAAGATGTGAAGAAAAAAAAAATGTATTTAAAATCTCCTATCATCGGGAGGTTGTTGAGACGTAAATATGAACAAAAGTTAATGAAAACAAAATATATAAAAAAAAATTTGCAATTAGACTATGGCTTGTTATAATTCTCAATATGAAGACAAAATTTAGTTCACCTTTATGTTGAACATAATGAACATTTTAAAATAAAAAATTGATTTTAATTAACTTATATTTAAATAGTTGAGATACTAATAATTTGGGGTTTAAACGACCCATGGATAAAGTCGGGATGGCAATAATTAATGATAAATAAGTATCCGTCACTATTTTCATCAATTAAAAGAAGGATTAGGCACTTTATAAATGAGTTCAAGTAGGATACAGCTAGCAGGTTTAGGGTTTTCATGACTTGGAATCAATTATAAAAAATGCATTTTTAAATATTTATTTTAATTTTTACATCTTTAGTATGTATGTTACTTATAATTGACAACTTATTTACCAAAATATGAAAACTATCTAAATATAGATTTTATTTTTTAATTTATTGATTTAAATTTGATTAATAAAATATATAAAATAATTAAAATTTATCTTCTATTATTGACTTTTGATATGTTAGATTTTTGTAATGGGTACCATCTAGAAGTATTTATGAGTCAAGCCAAGTTCGGATCAAGTTTATACTTAGTATTAATAATTTATATGCTTATTCAGGCTAAGTTCGGTCCAAAATTTTGGATTTCAAAATTTTTTCAAGCCTGACCCAAATTAAAAAAAAAGATCAAAATTCATCGATTAAACTTAATTTATATAATAAAAATATAAAAAAATATGATTAAATTAAATTTAATGAGATTATATTTAATTCACATATATATAAATTAAAAATAAAATTTAAGTTTAATAAAATATATATAATTTTTATTATTAATTTATATATATGTAATTAATTTATATATAAGTCACGTATATATAAAAATTAATATATATATATATATATATATATATGAATTTAGGTCTGTTCGAACCGAGCTCGAGTTTTAAATTTTTTATTCAAGGCTTAGCCCAAAATTTAAACAAGTCTAAAGCTTGTGCCCAAATTCGTTAATAAGTTTTAATTTTTTGTCTAAATACTCTCAAAACTTGGATTGATCTTTGGGTTTAGACGAATAACTTGACTATTGAACATATCTAGTACCATATCATTTTAAATAAATGAATTAGTTTAGGTTTAATAAAATATTATTAATTAGGTTCAAGTAGGATTTGGATTTTACATTTGGTAATTAGTTTAGGTATGGTTACTTCAAAATCGATAGGTACCTTATCCATTGCTATTTCTAGAAAAGAGTGAATCAATTGGAAACTTGAACAATTCATAACACTATAACTGAAACATAAATTTAATATAAATAAATCTGATAATTTAAAATATATCACAAAAAGGATACAAAAAGAATAAGATGACACAATTTAAAATTTTAATAAAACCATATACAAGTTTGATAAAACAAAAAAAAGGGTATTTTGATTTTTCGTGTTTATACAAATTGTGATAAATAATTTTCATATAAAATACGATATTAATATATGAATTATCATTGTTAAACACGACATGAATATACAAATTGTTAGCTCTAAATATAGATTTACTTTTTGTCTTTTCAAGCTTAATTTGATTTAAAATACTTTAAATTAAAGGAATTCATGTATGTTATCGTAGGTCAAAATTTTTTTGTTTTACCATCCTATTAACTGATTTTTTCTTGTAAAATTTACCTATTAAAAAAAAGTCAATTTGGGTGACATGTGGATATCTTTATTCGCCTTTTTTTTTTCAAAATTTATTTAATAAAAAAAAAGACAAAAAACCCAAAACAATTCAAAAAAGTGAAAAGGAAAAAAATGAAAAGAGAAAATAAAAAGCTTATAGAATGTGGCATGTAAACATTCCTATTGAGTTTAAAATATTAATTTCTTAAATTAAGATGTTAAATAAAAAATTTATTAATATAATATATAACTATAAAATTAAATTAATAATTAAATATATATGTATATCATGAAATGTGTCAAGATAATGTACTTTAAACACATTTTCAATTCGATCTCGTTTCTTTTAAAAAAAATAAAACTTGATCTTGATTCAAAAAATTACTACCAACCAAATCAAAATAAATTGAACCTGTCAAATACGATTTGTTTTGCCATCCCTATCAATATACATATTTTGTAGTAAAATTTATAAAATTAAAAAATACAAAAAAGGTGAAGGGAAAAAAAATCTAAATGGGAGTGTCACATGGACACCTCAATTAGCTTTCTTTTTCATAAATTAATTTAATTAAAAAAAAAAAAGAGCTCATTGGAATACCACGTAAATATCCTAATTGAGATTAAAATGTTAATCTATTAAATTAAGATATTAAATAGTAATTTTATTAATAAAAATAAATAAAAAGAGGAAAAGAAAAAATAAATAAAAGAAAAGATAAAAAAGAAGATTAGTGGGGTGCCACAAGAACATCCCAATTAAACTTAAAATGTTAATATTTTAAATTAAGGTATCAAATAATAACTTTATTAATATAATAACTATATATTTAGATAAATAATACACTTTTTATATATTATGGGATAACTTAGGCCAAAGCACGGGAAATCCACTTTTGATCAAATACAAATTTTCTTTTAAAAAAAAAACCTAATCCAACTCAACCCAATACCAATTTTAACAAAAAAAAAAAAAAGCTCATAATAAATCGGGACAAATCGAAATTCATCAAATATTTTGTCATCTTTATCAACCAGCCCATTTTGATATTAAATTTATCTAATTAAAAATTTTTTCTAATTTAAAAAATTAGAAAAATTTTCTAATTTAAAAAAATAAAAAATTAAAAGTTAAAAAAAAAAAGAAATCCAAATAAGGTGTCACATGGATACTTCATTTAACAATTTTTTTTTTTTACAAAATTATCTAATAATAAAAGAAGGACAAACAAAAACAATTTAATCAATAATATCAAATCCATTATATATGGATTGTTTTGTCATCTCTCTTAACCAACACCTTTTGTTACAAAATTTATTTAATTAAAAAATAAAAAACAAAAACAAAAAAGAAGAATTAAAAAACTAAGTGGACGGCTCCATTGATTTTTTTTAGAAAATTTATCTAATTAGAAAAATAAAAACCAAAAAAGGGAAAAATTTGGAGGCATTACTTGGACGCTTCCATTAATTTTTTTCATAAAATTTATCTAATTTAAAATTAAAAAAAAGAATGATAAAATGCCACATAGTTAACCAAAAGTCAATATAGATAGATAGAGAAATTTATTAATATACTATATATATGAATATAAAATTAAATTAATAATAAATAATATTTTTACATATCCCGAAGTAAATTACTCTAAATCTACCACTAACTCGATCATAATTTTTATAAAAAAAAAAATTTCCATGCCCCGATCAAATCTCGATTTTAAAAACCATTGATATTGGATTAAAAGCACGTCAAAACCTGCCTAAAATGGACTATTTTTAATCGCTACATCCATTAACTTACTTTTTTTTATAAAATTTATCTATTTTTAAAAAATAAAAATAAAAATGACAAAAAAAAGAAAAGAATGTCAAATTGAGTGCTACATGAACATCGTCATTCCCTTCATTATTTCAAAAATTTTTAATGTATAAATTTAAAAAATAAAAACTAAAAAAAATCTGGATGTTACTTAGAACATATATCAATATCCTTTTCTTACGAAATTATTTTAAAAAAATAAAAAATTTATTTTTTAATTAATAATATCACATAGGTCATATAAGAATATTTTTAAAATAAGATAATTTATTAAACACGTTGAAAACAGAAAAAAAGAAAAAGGAAAATAGAAATTTAAATAAAAAATTAAAGAAACAAAAAAAAATTGAGAGCCAAGGTTGTGCCACATGACAGGTTCTATGCTCAGTTAAGAGGAGCATGTATAAATTAAAAAAAAAAAAAAACTAAACTAAAAAAAGGGAAAATTTTAAATGTTGCATTACACTTTATCAATATTTTTCTTACAAAATTATTTAATTAAAAAATGAAAAAATCCAAAAGAGTATTTTTTTTTTAATCAATAGTATTAAATGGGTCTCAAATTAATTTTTTTAAAAATAAGATAATTTATTAAATATGTAAAAAATAGAAATTAAAATGAGAAAAAAAAAAAGAAAAGCAAAAAAAATAAAGGAGTTTGGACACGTGGGTGGTCCCATATTTAGTCAAAATGAACACAATTTAAAATACGAGTGGTAATACAAATATAAAATATCTCTCATATTTTTCTTTTAAATATTAATTTAATTAAAAATAACAAATATATCATAAACTATTAATCTTAGAGTAACTTAAAAAGATAATAACAAAATACAAAATCACTTTTCCTATTATTTTATTTGTAACTTTCATATAATTTTGATTTGTTTCAATAATTTTGTTGTGATTTAAAAGAAAGTAAAAAAAAAAAAAACTCTTTTTTATTATTATAATTAAATTCATTTTTACAATTATATTTTTCATCATCATAAATTTTTTTTTCTATTTTCCCTTATTCATCATAAAAATAATTAATATTAAAAACTTCATACTATCACTAAATAACAAAACAAAAACAAATTTAATTACTTGACTTGTAACCTAATAAATTTTATCTTGAAATAAATATTAATTATAGTTTAAAAGTCAAGTTTAGAAAAAATAACAATTGAAAGATGCATATGAACTAACATGTAAAACGAGAGGCCAAAGTTTGGAGGGAATAATTTTTCCCCTATTGCTGTTTAATGTATTGGGCAAAATCTAAAAATTACTTAGTACTGTTTAATAATATAAATTACTGGATGAGAAAATCAAATACAAACATAATGATATAATTAAATTTTTGTATTTGAAACTTGCATATATTTAACACTCCATTTGGTAAAAAGAATGGAAACGAAAAAAAAAAATAATCTAAAGGTTAGAATTACAAAATAACAAATGCGATCATAAATCCCAACCATTAAATTACAAAATAACCGTCGTCCTTACCAACACAAAGCTAGAGTCGAAAAGGCTAGAGTTGAAATGAATCAAGCATTGCTTTTAGAGTTTTTTGGGACGTTGACCACTGTTTATCATTAGCACTAGCCACAAACAATACAACGGTGCTTCCTTTTGCCGTTGCTTTTGCAAGATTGTGGGAACCCGTCAGAGCAAATGGTGTCTCAAGAACATATTTGTAGTACTGCAAAAACGACCAAGCTTTAAAATGAGAAAGACAAGTTTCAAGAAGAACAAACTACAATATAACCGAGTAGCTATCTCCATAAACCATAGATTACAATTCCAACAACCATATATAGTTACAATATTACATGACTTAGTTATTGCACATCATACAATAAATGCAAGATAATAATATTCATATACATGTATGTAAAATATAAAAAAATTATTAAATCAAATCCGTGTTGAAAATTTAAATACATAACACATTTTTTTATTTTTATTAAAATTTTAAATTATATTACTTTTCTGTCATTTTTTGTATCATTTTGTTTAAATTGTCAGATAATAAGACTTAATATTGCATAAATTAAAAAGCGGTAAAAGTAATGGTAGTAATAACGGCCGTGTTGGAGAAAAGGATTGGTAAGTAGTTGTACGTACCGTCTGTTGTCCAAGTCTTTCAACAGATGTTTCAAGGAGTTCATCTGGATCATAAGAATTTCCAGTGACAAAAGCACCAAGAGAGGCAATCACTTTCTCGGGGCTTCCAATTTCTTCAATTGTTGCATTAGGCTTGTTGGTTAGACGTATCAAAGGAGATGCCACCACCTGGACTTTCCCCTGATTTTCATCTTCAAATTTCACTTCAACCCATGGTTCTGCACACTTTGGCTGGCAGTAATTGCCTGATAATATGTTGGCCACACGACTTTGTTTCCAAGTTGGTGGAATAAGGAATTGGTATGGCTGCACATTTCCTGCAAAAAAACTAAACTTCAAGCATTATTAGCAAGCACATACAAAATCTAATTACAAAATGAGATTAAGATCACCGAAATTAAGAGGAAAGAGTGAGTTGAAAAATGAGACAGTTATTGGCTTACAACATGACTGACTTGGATAGGTGATGAAAGTATACCTGCGCGTAGAGCTGGGGTGTCTTTGGGGGAGGCCTTGAAGACAACGAAAGAAGGGTTGGTGGGAGAAGGAGGAAGATAAGACCCCACCTCCACCTCTTTTGCATCAGAAATGGGAGCTCCTCCCAACACCACTAGCGGCAACATTGCCAGTCCTTTAACCAATATTTCTCTCCTCAGACTCTTTCCTTTGTTATTATTGATATTGATCAGGTTCAGGTTTTCTTGCATTGATATATCATTTTGATTTGCGTTTGAGATTCTAAGTTTGATCAGTGAAGATTTCGAAGAATTTGGGAGGAACGGAGATAGGAGAGTTAGTGAAGCAGCAGAGGCCATGATGATATTGAAAATGTTGTTTTAACAGGAAAAGGGACGGCGGTTTGTGCTCACGCTCTTATCTGGTTTGGTCCCTTTTCGATAAGGAAAAGCCTCATAGCCACAAATACTAATAGCCCTAATGCTACCTATTTATTTACCGGTCGCAGCGTAACCACGTTCAATGTTTTGCCCTATGTGGTATTATGTTAGCAAAATACTCTCCAATTTCATTAATAAATTAAAATCAATTCTGTATTTTTTATTTTATAAAATTAAAGTTGAACTCTTATTCTTCTATAATATAATGACCCCAAATGTCATCTATTTATTTACTAGCGGTATTAATTTTTTCCAATGCTTTGCCCTAATCAATATGTTGATAAAATACCCAAAATAAGCTCTCCAATTTTATTAACATCTTTCTTTTCATATTAAAATTGTTTTTGAGGTTGGTTAATTTTAGTATCATGTTCATTATTATTATTGGATTACTTATTTGTTTGTTATATTATTTTTCCTTTTTGAAAAAATATTGGTTTTTGAGGGTTATACCGAAAACTTGTAGATTGGAATGTACTATTGAGTAGACAAATTAAATTTGAATTCATAAGTTTAAGCACCATATTTAGCTACTAAGATAATTTTTTTTTATAAACATCACCCTAAAGATTATAATTAAGATCAAAATATGTTTTTTATTAAATAATGAGATAAAAAAATACTATAATCTCAAACTAGTGTTTATGTATGCAAAAAGATTATAATAAAGATTAAATTTTTTTAGTTAAAAATTGAGAAACAAAGTGCTATAATTAGAGCTAAGCAAATGGTCAGTTTAGTTAATTCAGTCGTAAAAACCAAATAATTGAATTAATCGACTTAATCTATTATAAAAACCGAACCGACCACTATATATAAGGAAAACCGAAAAAATCAAACCAAATTAAGTTGATCGATTTCGATTGGTTTTTTTGGGTTAATCAGTTCTAGTTTTTATTTCTTGCATTAAACCTTAAATTTAATTTATGTAAGGATAGTTAAATACTCAAATACTCAATGCATAATCCAATAAGTTCAAATGTTGTTAATAATACTCAAATAAAAACACAAATACAATACAACAAAAATACAAACTTAAATAACAGTCCATGATTTATCTAGCACTAGCAGTTCATAACAGTCCATAAATATAAACTTAATTTATCTAGTACTAGCAATCCATAGCTAATAGTCCATAACATTCTAGAAACACAAACTAACAGTCCATAAACCACAATAACAATCCATAAGCCACACCAGTCATTGAGCAAGTCTGGAAAAAAGAAAAAAACCAAATTTGAAAATAAGAATAAAACATAATGAACTAATCAACACCAATACTCAACCAATTATATTCAAGAATGCCCACTGCCAATGAGCTTGCTCAACATTAATCATAAGGTAGTGAGCTTTTTCAACAACAATACTCAGCAAAGACATAAACAAAAAAATTAACATAAACAAAAAAAAAATAAATAATCTATTTATGTTACCTCAATTTATCAATACACTTTACCAATCAATTACGATATTTAATGCAATCTTAGATAAATCTAAACATACATAAAAAAAAGTTAGCTATAAAAATTTAAAGAAATAAGAATTGAAAAATAATAGTGGTAAAACTAAAATAATTACCCAAATCAATCTTATCAAGTTGCTCCACTTCATCCTTTGTGGCATTTGGATTAAAATTTGAAGATTCATGTAACTAATCTTAAGCACAAATAAGAGCTTACATAAGTTTAAGAGTTAAAGAACTCTTATATGCATCAAGCACACAACCACCAATGCTAAAAGCAGATTCAAAAGCAACTATGCATGTGAGAACCACCAACACATCATGAGCTATATAGGAAAGGATAAGAAACCTATGATTATTGAGTCTCCACCAAAGAAGAACATCAAAGCCCACCCCTTCCTTAATAGCATCGGGCTCTTCATTCAAATACTTCTCCAACTCTAATTTATTCTCTTCTCTGCTTTGTTGCTTTATAAAACTACTAAACTCAGCCATAATAGCTAGTGAGTCAAATAAATTCTTAATTCCAATTTCATAAGTGGATTCTGTAACTTGACTCGCAATGATACTTTCACCAACTTGTTTAGATTAAGATTGCACCATGTTTTTGTATTCATTGAATAACTCACCAATTGCTTCTTATACTTTTTCATCATCATTAAAGTTTGATCATAAGAATACATTTTCATAAAACAAAACTCCACCAAGCAAGTTTTTTCCTAAGATCAAGAATGGAAGCAATATAAAGTAATATATTCATTTTCTCCACATTCCCTTAATACTTGTCATATTTATCTTTCATTCTCTTAGCCATTGCACTCAATTCAACATCAACGTTCAATTACTAATCTTGTAAAATACCATAAACACCATAAATATCTTCAAAAAAATTATTAGAGATGACATATAAAGAACTTGAAACTCTAACTGCGAGGTTATAAAACTTTTGCAAGAAACGGCATAATCTTCTAACACTTGCCAAATTATTTTGATCAGGCACCCCATCTCCTAACATGAGCTCACTTCTATAGTAAAGATCAATATCATCAAAAGCCTCGAAAGCTTTTTCACACTTTTGAACTTGTTCCAACATCAACTAAGTGAAATTTCACCTAATGCTAACATCCAAGCATAACAAGCTCTTACTTTGAATGTGTTCATTGGCAACACACTCTTTAAACTTAGCCAACCTAGAGGGCGATTATCTTACATATTAAATAGGCCCTCTAACACGAGCAACCGAATCACTAATTTCCTTTAACCTATCACTCACAATAAGATTAAAAATATGAGCAATGCATATCAAATGAAGATATGCCTACTACAATATTAGTTATTACATTGTTAATTTTTTTTTTCAAGTATGAGATTGCAACATTATTGGAACTAGCATTATCAATTGTAATAGCAAAAACTTTATCGATCCCTCAATCACACAAGCATTTTTCAATTGCCCTACCAATAGCATCCCCTTTATGACTAAAAACGAGATAAAAGTTTAATATCTTTTTGTTATGTTTCCAATCATTGTCTATAAAGTGAGCTGTGAGACATATATAATTGACTATTTGTAATGAAGTCCATGTGTCAGTGGTATAAGACACTTTTGTAGAAGACGATTTCAAGAATTGCCTTAGGCAAGTTTTTTTATTCACATAAATTTGATAACAATCCCTAGCAACAGTTCATCGTGATGATACACAAAATCTAGGACATTCAATAACCATATAATGCCTAAATCTTTTTGCTTCCACCAATCTAAAAGGTAACTTATCTATAATTATCATCTCAGCCACACCTCTCTTAATAGCATCTTGATCAAACTTCCAAGTATCTAAAGATCCATCTCCTTCTAAACTACGAACTAATTTTGCTTGGGAAAGATCATCACTACCACAAGAAAATTTCATACATGAACCTATGTGATTCTTTAATACAGATGTTTCATTTTTTTTGGGTGAGCATAAAATTCTCTATCACAATAATTGTATCTAGCTTTGAGTTCACCTTTGTCATTAGAAAATTTAATGAAATGGTCTCATACCTTCGACCATGTGTTTGGTCATCTCCTTTTTGATTTAGTAGTCACAACTTCATTTTTTGTTTTATGTGAGTCTACTTGAGGAATTGATTGAGCCATCCTCTTATATCGGATTTCGATCAGTCATTTCATTCGACATCTTGAAAAAAAAAAAAGTTAAGCTATATATAAACATAAGGAAATGAATAGCATTTCTAGGACATGTAAGCAATTCAAAATAATTCATCAAGAAAATAAGAAATGAAAGTATATAAACATAAGGAAATGAATGTGTAGAGATGCTAATATGATCTTTTCATTTAAATAGATCTAAAACCAGCATGGTAGCATGTGTAAATATGCCAAATAGTTCTAGAAAATAATGTCTAGAAATTCAAAAGAAAGTAACCATGGAGAAATTGATGTTAGCTAGCTGGTCACAAATATATATATTAGTTTTATATATGTATGAATTTTATATGTTTTCATTAAATTATACCATATCATATTATTAATGAATATAAATTTTTATAAATTTATAAAATAAGAGTTTATATTTAGTGTATAGATATTATATATTATTAACCAATCATATAATGATATTAATACATCATAAAAATTAATTTTAAGATTTTATTTTTGAGCAAAAAATAAAAGGCTACAAGTCAATAAAACAAGCATATTTGTTGTTATTAACAAACACTTCAATTAAGATAGGATTTAATAAATTAGTAACAATGGAGATGATGATATCTTAACATTTTAGATCCATCATCATCATAATAATATATTAGCAATCTTGAATAAATTAAAAAATAAAATAATATATATGGGACAAATTGTAATAAATAAATTAAAAAGAAAATATTATATATATGGGACAAATTGTAATAAATATATTAAAATATATATTATATATATGAGACAAATTCTAATTCTTATTTGAGGAGGCATTACATTAATGGTTACACTATGAGACTGTAACCTAACAAAAGGTCAAAGGAAAAGGTAAGATTGCAACCTAAAACTCTTTTTTTTTTCTCATTTCTTTAGGCTTATGCCATCTGTGGAGGATGGCCCATCCTTTGGCAACCAAGTCCCCATGAGGATATCACGGGAAGTCAATTTCTAGCATTCAAGTTAAACTTTGGGGCCTCAGCTATGGTCTTATCTTGGGATAGAAGCTAATTCACCTTAACGACACATTTGCCAGCATGTAAGCCAAGGGGGCTTCATGCAGTTAGCTATTAAACCCTAAATTTTTGTATGTTATAGCTAGCTAGTACATGGATCTTTCAGTGAAAGTGGTTTTTCTTTCAAAATCTTTTAGTGAAGGTGCTTCAAAATCCTAAGAAACAAAGTTGAAAACAAAGCTACTAACTTCAACGCTGCGAGAGGAACTGAAGAAGGAATGAAGCGAATCTGTAAAAGGAACTGAAAGATCTTGAAAGACTATGACTTTGTGAAAGGAATGAAGAATGAAAGAGGCAAAGGTATGGAATGATGTGATACAAAGACACAACGACAGCCCACAAGATGAAGGTGAGAGGCCAAAAAGACTATGAGATAAGAGTGAAAAAAAGGAAAGAGAGAGGATGTGCAGTAGATCAAAGTGTTAAGACTTGAGATCGGTGTGTAGCAAATAATAAAAAAGAGATCGTAAGAAATCTGAGGGAGAAGATAGAGATCGTGTGGCAGTGAGATTGTGAGGGAAAATGAGAGATAAGAAAATGTTAAGAGTGTTGAGCGGCTAGGGTTCAGTAAGAAAAAAAAATCTAAAAAATGAGTGATTATAATGTTTTTATTTTAATTATTTATTTTGTATTAAATTGGGTATTTCAATTTATTCGATTTCAAATTTTAAACTTGAAAATTGACTACTTTAACCATTTAAACCAATAGGATAACTGAGATACCCGTATAATCCAAATTAACCAAATCGATTTATCCAAAAATTTTGGTTTTAATTGAATTTTACTCTCTCCTACCTATAATTTCAATATAAAAAAATTTGCTATAATATCAAACCAACTTTCTGTAGGTGAATGCCTAACTTTTAAGGTCTCTGAACTCTTGATCTATGTACTAATTATGCTTTTTATCATGCCACAAGTATTCCAAGACAAAAACGGTGACATGAGTGAATAAGAGAGCTAAAAGAAAAGAAAATGAGAGTTCGGGGTATTTATAGAGGAGTAAATAAATAGAGCTTTTAACGAATTATTTATAAATATATTCAATTTTTGTTTGTTTATTCCTAATTTATAATTATATATTTTTTTGTTTTAAATTGCTTATGATTTGTTTATTATTCATGAACATATTTGTTTATTGTTCATAAACATGTTTGTTTATATATATTGTTGAACATATTCGTTTAATGTTCATGAACGAGTTCGTTTAACTTAAACAAGTCCAATACAAATCGAACATGAAAACATAATGAATAATTTTCTTACCAAATACGAAACAACTCTAAAAATAAACAAATAAACTATGGACATACATTCATTTGTTCATATTCAATTCATTGACACCCTAGACACTTCTTCTCATAAGAGTAGGGTTTCAAAAATCAAAACTCCAATTAAGGGCAAGTCGAGGTTCAATCAAAGATTTAAGAAAGTTGGATCAAAAGCAAAGTAAGCAAAAATTCACTTTACCCTGTTGCCATCCTTATGTCATGGTAATAAAAAAAAATTTAACAAATTGTTGTATTTTCAAATCTTATAATGAAAAAAAAATACTATATTAGAATTTTATGCTGACTAATTTGTATGTATGTAAATTACATTTACTGTAGATATCTAATTTTTGTGGGTTAATTGTTAAATCTCAAATGTATAGTCTAATTTTTACATATTGAAAATTAGATTGTTTTACATTATTTTATTTTATTTTTATTTCTTTATATATATTTTTATAACAATGATGATGATGATGATGATAGTAAAAAAGTAAAAAAAAACAACAAAAAAATTCAACTTATGCAACTCATATCAAGTTGCCCTAATACCAAACTTTGACAAGTTTTGTATCAAAATTTTTGGTGGCTTTGAAAAATCATCCTTCAATCTTAGATTTTCTAAGACCTGAATTCATATTCTAACATTATAAATCTAGCATTTTAGGAGAAGAATTTTTTAGATAGAACAATAAAAAAATCACCCACTATCAAGATCGCCCTAGCCTACACATAGACCACATTTACTATCACCACAACCTAAAAAAAAAAAAGAACACATACCCTAAAAGGGGAGAAGTAGTGTTAAAAAACCACAAAAAAAATCATAAAACATAAAAACAAAAATCACATGAAAGGGTTTAAGTTTAGGCAATTTAGGGTGTTTTGTGGCTAAATCTTTCGTGAGGAGGAAGAGCTCATTTATTAGAAGCAAGTGGTGTTTGTCGTGGTGTAGAGAGGTTGTTTGGGCTTCAAAACTAGTGGCTTTAGGTTTAGATCTAGGGAATTAGGATGAGCTTTGGACGAAACTAACTGGGAAATGATAAAAAGAGGTCAAAAGGAAGATTTTGGTGTATTTTAAGCTTTAATTAGCACTGGCAATGAAATGTGGCAGTTGACATGGTAGCTGACCACTGGAATCTAGGTTTAGGTTAGCCGGTTGTAGGAATGTTTGAAAGAGAATAAATCTTTCTTTTGTTTAGAAAAGAGATGAAATGAATTAAAAAAAATGAGTTGGCTTTTGTAGTTGAAAAGAAAAAATATATGATCCATGCATGGACTCGAATGCGACCTAAAATCCTCGTGTCCAACTTGCTCCCAACCAAATTCATCTGTCATGAATTGGTCCAATTAAACTAGACCAAGCCAACGGTGAACCAAGTTGAACCACCAGAAGATCACCCAAGTCATTCTTAAATCGCCCTTGACTTGCTCCAAATTGCCTTGAATAGCAACCTATATTGATTTTTAAAACTGTTGACCAATTTGATTGACCTTTTTTTATTTTTTTTGTTTTATTTATATTTATGTTTTATATTTAATTACGCATGTTTAAAATTTAAAGTTATTGATTTTAAATAATAATGAAATAATAATAGAATTATTAAATAAAGTGTTAATTTAAAATCTTTTGCATAGTAATAATTTTATCACAAAAATTAACTAATTTTAGAAAAAAGTAAAATAATAAAAGAAATAAATAAAATGATATGATAAAAATATTTAAAATAATAAATTTTCAAACGGTTGCGAAGATGCAGCCAATAAACAAAAATCTTTTAAATTCTACTAGAATTATGGTAATTTTGAATAAAACTCCAATAATATTTATTTTGAATTAAAAATAAAAATGAAAAAAATAAAATTTAGATAATCAAATAATCGAAAGCGTAACAATTTTATGATCTTTCTCAAGCTAAATGTAAATTAAAATCAATGATAAATTCTAGACGAATTACGAATGTTAATTTTTTAAAGAAATTTTTTTTTGTATTTTTGCGAGCATGATGAAAAATTCAAGACAAAATTGAAATAAAATATGATATCAAGGGTCCAAAAATAAAGAGTAGCAAAGAATAAAAGCAAAAAAAAAATTAATTACTAATTAAGACATTAAGAAATGATGACAATGACTTTTTGGGAATAATGAAAATCCTCTTAATCATGGAATTATAAGAAATTGTGAAAGAGTGATTTTATAAAAGGTTCTTACGTGTGAAAATCCGTCCAAATATTATCAAAATGATGAAAATTTTGGAGAAAAGATTCAAACACTGACGGTTTACATTTATTCCTAAGTAAGAGAAATATAAGGAAAAATAATAAATATTAATTAGTTAAATTTCTTTTTTATAAGATTTCAATAAATCATAGGAATAAAAGTATAATCATTAATCAATAACGTGGTTCCAAAGGAAATTGTGAATGAGTAATTTTCTTAAGAATTTGCAAAAACCATGTTTTTTTTCTAAATTTTACCAGAACAATACAAAATTTAGATGCATTTATAAAAATGAAAAATAATTCATTAAATTGTAAAAAAAGGTTTTTTAATAAAATCACAAAAGCTTTCATGAATACAATGACGAAGTCTTTTCAAGGAAATGAATGAATTCCTTAAATATTTTTAAGATTGAAAAAATTTTTAAAGATTTTACCAAAATTATGGAGAAATCTTATGAAAATTTTTAATATTTAAATAATTAAATTTAACTTAGAATGAAAAACCATTCAATTAAGACTATTTAGGGACAACACAAAGTTAATTGATATCATTTTTGGACGAGAGTTGTAGGGTTGCTAATCTTAAATACCCATCCTCTAGCTAACATTTAAGAACAGTTTACTTCATATGAAGTTTTCATACAAACCTTTTGAAGTTTGGGATGCCTTGGGTATTGGCATAGGTCAACACTTTTAGGGTTTAAGTAGTTTTAGGGTCTAGAGAATCTAGGGTTATGGGTTGGATTTAATGTTTGAGGTTAGGTTAGGTTTAAGGTTTGAAGTTGGTTTTAAGGTTTAAGGTTTTGGTTTTAGGGTTTTGAGTTGATTTTAGGGTTTAATGTAGGTTTAAAGGTTTAGGATTAATGGTTTAGAGTTAAATTTTGGGTTTTGGGTTAAGTTTAGGATTTTGGGTTGAAGGTTTTTTTTAGGGTTTAGGGTTAAGTTTAGGATTTTGTTTTTAGGGTTTAATGGAGTTTAGGACTTACCATGATTTTTGTGAACCTCCTAAAAAAACTCCAACATTTAGACAGATTTTTCGAAGTAAACCAAAAAACCATGATTTTGAAATTTATTTGGGGGGCATTTGGTTTGCAAAATCTTAGATTCTGAGAGAAAGTATGATATTCGAAAAAATGTGATACCCGACGGAAATTTTGATTTTCAAAGCACCCAATTTGCAAACTTTTATGTTTGGTTGAAGGGAATTTACGTTTATTAAATCATATATTTTTATCATAATATCTTTGACAATCTTGAAAAAAACCTTTCATTTTGTTTTGAAACAAATAAACACGACAAATAAGACCTTTATCAAATGAAAGAAAGATTTTATAATTTTTTTATAAAATTTAAATCGTACCAATTATTGCGTTTGTATAAACAAAATGCAATAATTGATGTTATTTTTAAAAATTAACTATGATCAAATACTACATAATTAATAAATAAATGTCATAATTGGTTTCGTTTAAAATTTTACTTTACTTAATTACGTTGCTTAATTAAAAGAAACACAATAATTGCTTTCATTTAAAATTTTACTTTACTTAATTACAATGTTTAATTAAAAGAAATGCAGTAATTAAGTTTTTTTAAAAAATTACTTAACTCAATTACTCAATTACAACATTTAATTAAAAGAAACGTAGTAATTGAGTTTTTTTTTTAAATTACTTGACTCAATTACTACACTTTTAAATAAATGACGTAATTGAGTCATTTTTAAACCATAAACCCTATTCACTCTTAATCATTTTGTTATAAAAGTTAAGGCTATTGAAGGCAATCCAAAGTACATAAAGACATTAAAATGTTATAAAAGTTTTTCCTAGCCGCTATAGCAGTCTATCATTATATACAAAAATAAGAAACGAGAAGCCGTAGAAGCAAGCTTTTTTCTTGGTACAGCCACCGGTTTTTATCCTTAAGCAGTCACCAAATGCGGACCAGATCGCGGAAGCACGCAAGAGTACGTAACATACTTGACTCTATCTAAAAGCACGACCACAAAGATCCGAGAAAGCGACTTTGGTACAATCATGTCATCTATATCTCCATCACCAGCCTCTCTGGGATCAATAAGCACAGAAACTACCATAGAAGAAGCAGTTTTATTACCTTGAAAATTCTCCCTTCGAGAATTTCTTCCAACACGCTGTTGGGTTATGTTCAGATCATGTCCCGATAGAGGAATAGGATGACCATGGAGAATCCTTCTGTTTCTTTGCTTGTTAAGCTGCGTAGAATTTTGCCGACGCTCATCAGAAACATTGGTAACTGGGGAAGCAGGAACAATGGCTCCTGGAGCAGAGACATCAAACTGGAACACTTCAGTGCACATGCCAGAGCTCAACATTGGTCCTGCAACAAAGACAAAAGAAACACAATCAATTTAGTACATGACACATACACCAAGAGCAGAGTTCATCTCGGTGCAATTGATTTTACTTCAATTTCAAGACAAAAAAAGCTAAAAATATAATGGCAGGCTTCAATAAGTCAGCAATACAACGAGACATGATAGACTCATTTTTAAATTCACGCTGCCAAAACCTAGCCAAGAGTTATTTTTTAAATCGTGTGAAACATCATTAGTTTGTTCTTCACGTTTAAATCCACACTGTCAGAACATAATGGAGTGTTAGCCACTAGTTATCATTAATTTATTTTAGTTCTTTTTCATTTTTGTTGGGAACAGGAGTTGGGGGAGTTGGCCACCACCTATCAACCATGATAAAAATAAAACCCAAGACTATTTGAACAGAAAATAAAAATTCTACTCATTCGACTCAGTACACTAAACTCTTAAATTCACAGCAAATGGTCAAGCTAAGCAGAAAGTATCTCATTGACCAAGTTTGTGCCACAATTATATAACGATTATCAATTTATACTGATTGCAGTAAAGCTACCTAACCTTAACCCCCAAACAGGGACTGCAGCCAAGTGAAAAGTTCTACACCTTATTTGGCTTCCAGCAATTACCAATATCTAAGTTAAAATTACATCCAATTTTACAGAACATTCACATCCAGAAAAACACCCTATGAAAGTAATTAGAAATATAATATGAAGATAATACCTGCCACTCCTTCCCGGAACCACTGCTGCATCTTACCATCAGCAACAGTTGACTTGAAATGGTCCTTCAAAGCATCAGCAGAACCTGAAGAAAGAGCCATCTGTCTTTTTGCAGGATTTCTGTATTCACAAGAATGCTTTCCTCTATTCTTTCTGGCATCAGGAATTGCAAGGGCTGGAGAGAAATTCTTAGGGATCACCAAACCTGTCTCCTTATTCTTTATTTGAGAAGCTTTGTGAGAAGCCACAGCTTTCTCACTGGCCAGAACAGAATGAATTATCAGGTTGCCATCAATTTTCACAAGCTTATCATTTCTCGGTACATACAAGGAAGCAGTAAGAGGCTCACTACCATTGCCCATAAAACCAGGTACATTAGGTGCCCCAATATCTTTCTGCTCAACACCAGTCTCTGATCCTCTACTGTGAACTCTATTGCTAACGTCAAATTTCTCATAAGAAAATGCCAAATCCCTTCTATCACTAGAGCCATTTAAATGACTATCAACTCTCAAAACTCTGCCACGATGCACTTCATAAAACCCATCGCCAACAAAACCAGACCCAACAGGCGTATTATCATATCTAACGTTCACAACTGGGACCAAACCACCAAACAATAATATGAAAAACAACATACCCAATAAACTAACACTAGCAACCTTCTTAGTTTTGCTCTCATTCTTTTTAGCTTTGGAAGCCGGTTTCGACTGCTGTTGTGATTTCAACCTAGGAATAGGAACCAATGGCACCTGAGACCCTGGCGGCTTCATCACATAGGGCGGAGCACAGGGAACCCATGGGTATGCCATCGGTGGATACATTGGCATAGGAAATGGCTGTGGAGAGCACATTCCAGCACCTCCACCACTGCCACCACCAGTGCTTAACTGCTGTCTCAAGGTAGCATTTTCAGCCATAAAATAAGCTATCTTATTATTCAAATCAGCAATAGTAGAATGCATTGCCCTAACCTTATCCTCCAGCTCTTCCACGTAATGCTTCTTACGCTGCCTTGAAAGCTGTGCACTCTCTCTGTTCCTCATAAGCCTCGCCCTCCTTTTCTCCTCCTCTTCGCTCAGCGCATTCGAATTATTATTAGAATTGGAGTTAGAGATTTTCACCGTGGGCAGCGATGATCTTCTGCACTTGCTGGAATCAGTTTCTTCATCGCCTTTCTTTCTTTTAGACAGTCGCCTTTTCCCCATTTCTTCAACATTAATCTTTTGATCGATGATGTTTCCGGAAGAATCCGGGGAGGCAACATTCGTCGCTTCAGAAACGGCCGAAGCACAATTTCCGGAGCCTAAAGAGGAGACAGGAGAGTGGGAATTACCTGAATAATCAGGGCCGTTGACACTGTCAAGTTCCGCAGATGACGTATTGAGGTACCTTTCGACGTCGGATTCGGGTGTGACTGAAGAATCGGGGATGAGAAAGTGCTCGGAATCGGAGGGAAAGTAGAATTGATCGATGTCGTCAAAGGTGAGTTGGAGATCATCGTTGTCATCGAAAGGAAACCCTAGATCTGATGAGAGATACAACGTATCCATTGGTGGTATGGCCAGCGATTCCAAATCGGAGCCCAGATCGGGTTCCAGCGGCGCTTCCGCCATTAAATTTTGGTTTTGAGGGGTTTTACAGAGCAAATTCAGAGTGTTAGGAACGCAATCCGATGAAAGACCAAAGACTTCAATTAGTGATAGAATTTGCAAATGGAATTTTGTTTTTTCAAATGGTCGCTTTTATCTGAAAGGGTCCGAAGACTTTCCTTCGACGTTTGGCTTTGCCTCGTGGGTACGCGCGTTTGTCACTTTTTTTTCCTTTCCCGTTTTTTTACAACCTTTTCTTTTCCGTTTGTTTTATTCAAGATTTTACTAAGCTAATATTTATATTATAATCGGATAATATCGTGGCTTTTGAATTATAATTAAATATTTAATATAAATATGTTTTTTTAATTTGATAAATTCAATTTTTTTTCAAAAATGTCTATTTTATAATATATAAAAAATTTTTAAATAAAAATTTAAAATAATATATGCATTAGTATTTAATATACTATTAGTATAAATTTTTAATTATACAAGTAATGTTAAGAGATTGACACATGTTCTATTTCTATTTTAAAATAATTTTTAAAATAAATTTGAAAAGATATTTGTTTTATTTAATTGCACTAAAATTTTAGTATTTTCATACTTATTTTTGTATAATTTTCATATATTTTAGCTTGTTCGTTAAGATTTTTAACAAAATTACTCTTAAATACATATTTATCCATGCGTAGGTACAAATAAAAAAATTGAGAAATTTTAGATTTTTTTTATACAAATCTAGAGGATTTTTTATGCAATTTGAACAAATAACCTAAATTAGCATTAATAGACCACATTGATACTTAAGGAGTTTTCTTAACTTTTGTTAAATAATTTTTTAGTATTATTTTCATTTTTTTTTTGTAAAATGTAAGATAAATATGTTCATAAAATGTTTTAAAAAATTTATAAAAAAAAATAAATGAAGCACGTAAAAAAGGCATGGACGTGTGCATGGGTGCATAAATAAGCATGCAATTTCAAGACATTTCAATCTAGGTCCAAAAGCACAAAAAAAAAAAAAAGAGCTGATGTGGCATTTTTAAAGGATGTAATTGGCCATTATTTTGACTTCTTAAACCACCCATTACACATGAAATAAGAACTTGCAAAGTGCTAAGGCATCAACCAAACAACAAAACTAGGGACTTGCACTTGTCATGGGTCGGGAATCAAGCTCCAAACTCATGCGGCTCTAAAACCCAAGAATAGACTCATTCGATGTCCTAGATCAACCTAACACTTGGATCGGTGCTCGGGCACTCAATGCTCTAGGGCTAGTCGACCAAGTTGCTACTAAACAAGGCTGAACAATAAGTGTTTGATGGAAAGTTAAAGAGAGCAATAGAGATAGGCAAGAGTAAACATGTATTACTCTAAGTTTGGTGTGTACAATAAGGGTGGAGGCACCCTCTATATATAGCTAAAGCCCCCTTACATCAATGAATGATATTAATCCTATTCTAAGGTTCATAAAGAGTCCAAAGATTACAAAAAATTACATAAGATTACAATGGAAAAGTTTAACTACAAGGACTTTGTCAAATAAAAGTTGGAACCAAATGGGACTCTTCCTTCAATAGTGCTTGTGCAGGGCCCCTCCCTGGGCCAATGCCTGGATCAGTTTTGCTCGTACCTTGGCTTACTTCTGTGCTTGCAACTTGGTCTATTTGAAAGCTACTAACTGGATCACCTAGCTTGAGCTCTTATAGCTTGTTTCAGCATAAGCACACTTGTTTTAGGTTATGATCTTACCCCTAAGACCTCCATTGAACCTCTAGGCCTATTATCCCTTACATTCTAACTTAGTCTCGCTTGTCTTAGAATTGTTCCTTGTTTCGATGAGAACCCCTAAGCCTAGTCCTTCTTACAAACCATGACACACTAGCGCTGCAACAAAAAAATGAAAGCTTTAGAAGTGTCCAGTGAACTGAAGAATTTTTTAGATATTTTAGACCTTCAGCTCCTTCCCTTTACCTATATATATAAGGAGAGGCTTGACTATTAGAGGAGACTTAGTTTAGGATTAAAATTTTTTCTTTACTTTCCTACACTTTCATTTTTAGTTTTTATATTTTCTTAATTGCCAAACACTTTATTTCTAGCATTTTTCCTTTAAATTTCATTACAAATTAATTGTTTCTTAAGTGTTTTTTAGTACTCTTTTAAAATTTTTCAATAAAATTTACATTTACATTCGTTTTCCAACTCCCATCTATTGATTTCTCATGAATGTTCAAATATGTTTTTTGAATCTATCTATTTTGACCTATCTATGGTTTTTGGATCATATCTCTATCAAATGTTGCTTATTTTTGTTCAATTTTTTGTCATAGTTTAGAGTTACAACTTAGTTGAATTTCAGCTTAAAACTCACAGCACATTGATCCAGATTAAGATTGGTAATTATGCATGGATGTAAGTGATAGGTGCAAGCTAAACATGAAAATCAACTTTGGCGTGGATCTTCTCTCATCTTTGGCATTTTGTTTACATTCTTTTCTTCTTTAGATCTTTAGTTCTACTTGTTACCTTGCTAAGTTTCATTTTGTACAATTTATTTCACATTTTTAAGTGTTGTTTAGTTAATTTTGTTAAATATGTTCTATTTTTTCATATTCTGAACTATTTTTAAATTTGAGTACATTGAGCTAATTTCTTTATTTGTTCATGCTCTTTTCTTGTCGATGTAAGTAGTTAACTTATAAATCTAGGTTGTTCTAGCTTAGATAAAGTTCCTTGCTAGTATATGATCACTTGTTGAATTTTTTCTTTGGAATTTTCTTGTGTTTCTAGTACATACTAGCTGCTATTTTAATTTATTTACACTGTTTGAGTATTTTCTTGCATTCTCTCTTCTACCATTTAATTCTTCATTAAGTGCTTCAATTTGTTCTTCATTTAACTTACATAAAGTTCTATTTGTTCATCAATAGGAGTTAAATAAAAAATCATTTTATAGCTTCTTTGTCTTTGCCATTTCAAGTTATTGCATTTGTTTTGGATTGATTTTTATGTTACATTATGTTCATGCATTATTCTTCAGATCGTATGTTCCAATAAGCTATTCATAGGATGTTTAAAATTCAGTTTATGTTTAGGAAGAGTTGTGTGTTTAACTTTGCTTGTATGTTGCACATTTAAGCTTTCATTTCCAATTCATGTTTAAGCTTTCATTTCTTGCTTATGTTTAGGCGTTGTTTCCATCTTTAGGTGCTGCTTCCAATTTCTTCATTTCCACATCATTTTTATATATGCATTTCATTTAGATATCATTTGTTCTTGCATAGAATTAGGTGGCCATTTAGATTAGATACGTCAAATTTTTAATTGTAATATTCTTGATTGATTTTTCATATGCATTTTATTTTTATAGTAATACTTGTAGACATCAAATTTTATTTGGAACACTTTTCAATGTGATTGATCCAGGGCTCATTTGTGAACATGGGTTGAGATTATTTAGGAGGAGCATTTACAACCCATAAAGAGCTCACAAATTTGCCTATTTAGAAATTCAAAGTCAACTTGGGTCAAATCCGATCAAATAAAATCTAAATTACACAAAACTTAGTCAAAATGGATAAGAGCCTAGGTTAATTCTCAAAATACAAAAACCTAATTGAAATCAATGTGATTTAAAATTAAATTCAGGATTTTTCAAAACATTAAAATTTTCATTATACCTTAGAAAGGGCAAAATTACCAAAATACCCTTATAAAGGGTATTTTGTAATTTGACATTCTCGAGCTCAAATTTTTATGAGACTTTTTAGATCTTAACTTTATAACATTTCATGATTTTTGGTGCATTTAAAATTACAGCAGTATCCCAAAAAACGTGAAATTACCAAAATATCATAATAGGGGTATTTCCATAATTTGGCTTTCCCGAGCTCAAAATTTCACAAAACTTTTTAGATCTTAATTCTATAATATTTCATGATTTTTGGTTATTCCGAACACACAGCAATTTCCCGAAAAGTGTGAAATTACCAAAATACCCTTATAAGAGTATTTCGTAATTTGACTTTTTCGAGCTTGGATTTTCATGAAACTTTTCAAATCTCAATTTCATAACATTTTGTGATTTTGGTTCTTTAAAGTTATAAAAATGAGCATGGGAACATTGAATTCTAAGAAAATAGCTTAAATACCGAAAACTTTGCATTAGGGGTAAAATGGTCTTTTTTCATGGGTTTAGACCATAAAAATTCAACCTTTGCAATGTTTAATGTGGGCCATTGGATCTTTTTCTGACTTTTGATCCAATGGCCAAAGGTGGCTCCTTGAAAAGAATAAAAGGAAAAACTTTGACCCTTGGATGAGATTTCATCCAATGGTCTTCATTGATCAAGATTGAAATCCTTTTATTTTGAGGAAAGGTTTACTGAATGAAAGGAGGGAGAGGCTGGTAAATAGTAAAGGGCATAATAGAGAGGCTTTGGAAAAAAAAAAGTGCAAAAACACAAAGAAATAAGCTAAAAAAAAATATAAAAAGTTCAAAGGTGAGCAGCTCATAGGCGTAGGTTTTGCTGTTATTATCATTATTCTTACTCCATTTTTGTATCAGTTATGATCTTCTTTGCAAAGTGTTTTTATTTTTTCCTTGTATGCTTTGACCTTGGTGTGTATGTTGATTAAGTTTGAGGCTTCATTTGTTTTATATTTTTTTTACAAATGGTTAGAACTTCATCTCTTTTTTTTAGTATAACCGAACAGCTTCTACCTCTTTCAATGGTAGCAACAATCGGCCTCCTTCCATAAAGTATTTTACCTTTACTTTTCCATCTTTCATTGATAATCTTTAGTTGGCCTAATCTGCAACAAATGAAACTCTAAAAATTAGTTTCAAATAACCAAATCGTGCTGCTTAGCCCTCCATAAGTAGTCATGGATTAGATGCCTTTCCACATAGCCATAGGCATCACGATTTGGGTGTCACTCACATAGCCCCATCTATTTGACATGAAAAGAAAACTTTAATAGAAATAGCTTTCAAAGAGGCGAGTGATAAGTTGTTGAAAGGGAAAAAAAGGTTTAAAAATTGGAGCTTTTCTTCCAACTCTTTGTTTTACAATTGGGAAGGGATCTTATACAAGTTAAAGCTTCAAGCTTTTTCTTTTCTTCTGGTTTCTTTCTTCTGTGTAGGGTCTTGTCTTGGTTTATCCTTGTTTTTAACTATATGAAGAATGCAAAGTTAAAAATAGGCAATGTGTAGGGAAAGCTTCACATGAACTACAAGTT